CTGTTCAAAGGATAGGATATTGAGAAGCTCACAAGAGATGATAGTAGGGAATGTTTAGAAACAGGAAAAGAAAAAGCTGATGTAAAGGGGCTATGGGGAAAAATCTTAGAGATTGGCCAAGTCGCTGAAAACGTCGGTTACGTCAAATCGATACGTATCCAGTCTTCGGAAGATCGTCGCCAGTTACGACGGTGACATTGATTATGTCGCTTACGGCGACGACGGCAACGTCGTCGATTACGTCGTTCATGGCGATTACATCGGATCGATACGTATCTGCCCTTCTGACGTAGTCGCCTGAAAACTTCGGTTACGTCGGATCGATACGTATAAAGCTTTCGGAAGGTTGTCGCCCCGGATACGGTTGTCGGTGATGTCGACGACGGCAACGTCGTCACAAGCTATGAACGCAGCTTTAGCGCAAACCTCTCACCGTTGGACATGAATTGAAGACGACTTAGGCTGTTTTAGGGTTCCATAGTCTTTGCAAGCGCGATTCCAATTAGGAGGATGTGAACAAAAGAGCAGCAAGCCTTTTTTGAGTTTCATACTCTGCAAGCGATGGGAAGGACGTGAACTGAAGAGCAGGTAGTTCGTCTTCCATACTCGTCGCAAGAGGAGGATGTGAAATGAAGAGCAGTTAGTGTGTTCCTCAGACTAACCTTGATATTTTAGATGGGGGCACTATTCAATTGTTACTTTTCCAATCTTCCGACCTAAGACCAATCTTACTATCGAGCTTTTGAAAAAGGCCATAAATTTCGTTTCCAGACCTTCAACCTCCAAAACACGAATATCGCATCGCTTGGCCAGGAATTGCCTGGCGCTCACGCCACGGTCCCACAGCTCAAGCTTTGCGCTCCAGTCGTCACGGAGAGAGCGTCCTTCATACACGCATACGTTCCGACATAGTCGTACAAGACGCCCCCACTGCTAAGGGGAGGTCTGTGTTTAGGAGTGTTCCCGAAAATTTTTTTCGCTTCTCTTTCTACTGAGAAGCTACTTATGAGCCACTGGTTCATGATTGAGCACCAACTACCCGTAACACTTGCTCGCGGAACTTGTCTTCAAGGAGCATTATGGAAGGGTCTATGGACATCTAAAGACCTATCCGATGAAACGGTTTTTGGCTTCCCATGTGACCCAAAATACACGACTTTTCCAGTGAACATCTCTCTAACCTGACCTGTACTGTCCACTGATCAGCAAAGTTTTTTATAACCAAATGTGGCTCTCCATTAGGCCCCACTGCTGGAGAGCCGATAGCGTCCAATGCTTCCCAAAGATCATTCGAACGAGCATTTTTGTAGGAGAATTTCGTGAGATAATGCTGAAATCAGCTATTTTGAGAGATTTCCTAACAATCAACTGCCAACAAATATTAGGGACAGTCGAGGATGAATGGTGCCCTTGAATATGCTAACAAGTCTCAAAACAGAAACTGACCTTTATTCCATCCTGGAAGCTGACATCTCCCATGAGAGCCGATATCATAGCAATAATAGATGCTCCTTTTGAATAAGATATAGGGCTGAAAGCCTCAGCTATCTCTACTGACCTCTCAATCTTGAACGACAACGGATGGCTGGTAGCGACTGCATCTGCTATCAGCGCACTTTCCAACACATCAACGACGAAATAGTCGTTCTGCAAGCAAGATTGCCTCAATAAAGCTTACTAGGTAACGTCGCCAGGTCAAAATGGCATTGTGATGAGACCTAGATCGCCGGACGTGTTTTTGAACGTGTTCTCGAAACTGTCGCCGGAATTTGCAGAACTATTCTCTGAATGTAGTAAAGGTTCGTTGGATGAAGGGGCACGGAGTCAAACGCAGTTGCCAGCCAATGGCATGAATAATGGCGAAGATGCTCTGCAAATGGTAGTATGATGTAGTGGTAAGGGCGTCGCTTCATAGGCGTGAGAGAAATGTTCGGTGTTGGGGGAACAAGTTCATTTTGTGAGGAATGTCTTTTTGAGTTCAGAGTGATTAGGCGTCTGCGCCCTTTAAGAAATCATTGTCGGCGGCGGACGCCACAAGCGTTTGGCGCATCAGGAGGGTGTCATAGTGGTAGTCAGGAAAAAAGCACCCTGGGAGACCAGGTTTAGGCCGCATGTAAGTTTTTTGCCTAACTTCAAACTTTGAGGCAGCAGTTGCTGGAATGATGACCACCAAAAGCTCTTGCACCAGTATGTTATCAATTGCTTATTTTCAGAAGGAATTCGCTTTTGTAGATCAGGAAGACTTGAGCAGTAATAGAACGAATGCGTCAGAAAATGACAAGGTGAGGCTTTGTACAGGAGAACGTCTCTGTTGCTGGAAAGGTGTGGACATGAAGTGAACTGCACCGCATGGATGCTTCATTTCTCGAAGTCAGGTGAAAATGGCAGATTAAGCCAGGGACTCGTACCTAGGTGTAGTTTGGCCCGCTGATTACAATTATGACATTCGCTTAGCGCTAAAATGCGTTTCGCTGAACCATGGCCCTGTGCAGCTCCCCAAATCTCTATATCAACAAAGCCGCCCATTGCCAGGCGATAATTGCACGCAAACTCTTTTCCAGGCAGACTTAGGTGAGCATTGATGTGGTGGTGACGATAAACCACGTCTTGCCATGTTCCTGCAGTTAGCAAAAAAAACTAAGCCTAGCAGGGATCCGATCCCTTGCCTTGTCGCTTGGTAGACGGGGAGGGAAAAGTTAACTCCCTTCAGAGAATCGTTCTGCAAATTTCCAATGCAGACTTGAGATCAGCGTCTAAAAACACGTCCGGTGATCTGTGTCTCATTATGAATAACCGTGTCGATCCGGCGACCATCTCTAGTTTGAGAATCAAAAAACGTCCCGCACCAGTTGCATTTCGCCCTTTGTAACCACGTCCAATGAAACGATTTCCATGTATGTGGCAAAACCTTCGTTCAGCCACAGATCGTCCCACCATTCCATTGTGACCAGATTTCCGAACCACTGCAAAATCAACGATTCAACAGCTGTATATAAATTACCTGCTTGAAGCGAAAATATTAATTTGCGATGTCGTTAGCACGTGAAAACATGGGGCGCAGATGGCCTAAGGGGGGGGGGGCGCACAGTCAAGATTTCCAATGTATGTCCTTGTCCTTGTTTCTTCCTATCTCTTCACAATCGTCTCTTCCTTCAAATCCTGCAAATTCTTGTCAAATGCCCTGCAAACTAATGTCAAGATTGGTGAAATGGTACTAGCGTCACTAAAACGTCATTTCTCCACACTTTTTTGTTCAAATCTTGAGTCTGTAAGTTTAACAGAAATTTATAGGGTGCTTGACAGGTGATACCGAGGCCTACAATGTGCTGACAAGGTTGTCCGGTATTCACATGCATACAAATTACAGGATTTGGTATGCTTACAGGTGAAGCCTCTTGAGGTTGTGAGCGTCATTATGGGGAACCCGAAGAACAGTGCCCGCTTATTGCAGTCGATTTCAGAAGGCGTGGCGCCCGTCAAAACCCTGCAAAATCTTTGCAGTGGTTCGGACGGGCGGGATAGCCAAAGATGTTTCCTAGTGTCGCATCTTGTATACGACCCTTTTTCATAGGTCGTGTTCATGGAAGGCGCGGCGGTCCTACTGCGCCTGGCGGAAAAAATATTTGAGACGTAGCTAGGGCAGAGGCAGCGTCGGCTCAAGATTAATCAGCCTACGTCGTGCTTCCATCCCGACTGGTCGCCCCGCTCCGCTCTTCGTACAGCCGTCAACTTCTTCATCCGTCTGTGCTGGTCGCCGTCCAAGACCAGCGAGCTACAATGCGAAGGAGCCGGATCATTGTCGAATATTCCAGGTAACCACTAGGAGCGGAGCATTCAGGAGCGTAGATAGCTGGAGAGAAGATATTTCCGATCCCTTAGTGTGTTGCAGCCTCGTAGCCCCGTGAATTAGGCAGGGTGTGCCCTCGTGAAATAGGGCCGTACCTTTTTCGCTTAGAATTTATCTTTTCGTATTTACTTCGTGGTTTATTCGTTACCAGTCGGATCGCTCGTGCCAAGTTCTCCTAATGCTCTTTAGCCCGGCTTCGCCAGGCGCTCTTCACGATGCAATGGAATCTGCTCATTCTTCGCTGAGCTGCTAATACTGTTGATCAAATCGTAATAAACAGAGCACAATAGCGGATGCACTCCTACTATGTACCCCCCCCCCCCTTTCACGCTTATATTTGTCGGAGGAGGGGTAGTCTGGGCCATCACTACAAACAGATCTGTAGGTATGGAAAGAGAGCACAGTGCGCAATATGAATCCCTCATAGATGGACAATCATCGTTCCCATTATTTGCGTAGAAACGCAGCCGATGAGCACCTACCTCTTCCATTATCATAAAATCTACTCTCTGAAGTCGTATAATTATCGCGATGCTAATAGTTAGGCTACGCTAGTTGTAATGTTTTTCACCCCATATGATTCACATGAAGTGTGTTACTTTATTCACGTTTTGGGATTTTTATGAGTTTCCTGTTTCAGGCGAACGACATACCTTGACGCCTGACGCCTTTCATGAGATCTTAACAGCCCGATAGACTAACAGCCGATAGCACTCCCGTCCCAAACCAATAATGTCCCCGTCTCAGCCTTTACTACAACATGGACCGGATTGAAAATCTGCTAGCGGTTGAGCACTCCTAATTCCCTCTCATTGCATTCACTGATGCATTTATCCATTTGTTCCCACCGCTACGGGGTGTGCTTCTGATCGAGCACATCCTACCCTCACCCCGTCTTACCCCAGAACCCCCCCCCCCGGCACTAACCACAATCCCCCTCCCTAACCCCACATCACCCTTTCCCTGCCTCTTGCACGTACTGCCAGGCGTGCAACACGTGCAGTGTTCGCGACTACAGGTAGCCAGTTGTCTTATACAGCTTGAAGCTCCTATCACATTTGAAGTATGATCCCTCCAATTAATACCAACAAATGGAATGGATCGCAACCCTGCGAGCGGTTAATCCCTCCTCTTTTCCTCTTATCACTTTCACTGATGCATTTGTTTCCACCGTTGGTGGTTCGCCTCTGTTCGAGCCCACTCAATTCATTTCGCTTGCCACCTTCGATATAACCTTTTTTTCGAATAAGTCTCCCCTACGTTGAAGAAATCTTTTTCAACTAAAAATCGTGGGCGGTACGTCCGGGTTGAAAAACAAAAAGGGGTTTCTGCCACTCGATAAGAAAGAACGAAAGAAACGCCGAAAGCGCCACAAATAACGCTCTATTTGATTATGAGCAGTTTACGAATTCACGAATACACTCAGTGAAAACTCTCAGGAAGTAAAGCGTGACGTTTGAGAACCACTGAAGTAGTATGTCCGGGAGACCGCAGGCGTGCCCTAGTGTCGTCCCTATACTTCCACGCGCTTCCGTAACGTGCAGTACTTGCGTCGATGCTAAGCTCTTGCAACGAAACTGGGGTGGAGAACAACTAGAAGACAAGGACGACCTTCGTCGTCTTAGCAAGAACTTGTCGTAGCATGCATCCACCGAGCTTATCCTTATGTGGAATAGCGATCACTTATTTTTTATTGTTAGCCAAATCGGATCACAATCCTATTTGAGGTTCAGGGTTATACTTTATGCAAACCTGATGAGCCAGCTCATGTGCTACAGTTCTCAGAACTGAAAATCGATTCGGCAAAGAATAAAAGTTCATTCATCATTATACAGCAGTGCCTGTTCTCTACAACAAAGTTCTACGTCTACATCTATGGAACAATTGTTCTACTACTGAAACCGTAAGGGTACTAAGTACCTGTAGGTTACCAGTCCCCAATTTTCCATTGCACCAGCTGCGAAGTCGGGCAGTGCAAGCATGTCTACAAAATGCAAATTTTTAAATAATTGATGACTGTTAGAGCAGGGCGTAGGTAGCAGCATCGACCACATACGACTCCATCTCACAAGGGAGGTCGTTCAGGGCGTGGTGAGCTTACGAGGACCTCAAGACTGAGGTTCATTTTCGCTGCGCGCTTCTACGAATAAAAAAACCTAAAAAATAGTTCGATTGGGTTTGGATCCCACCGAGGACAAAATTTGCTTTTCTACAGTTTTTCATTTTTTGGATCCGTTATTGTTTCTAGATAATTGGGGTCCTAAACAAAAAACATTTCACGATGAACTGGAACCGATATCCTAACTTTTATGGAAGCAAAAACTGTTTTTTCGTTCGAATTTGTTTGTATGCACAGACTCAGCTCTTCGGCGCTATGCCGGTGCCAGATGGCACTGGAACCGAAAATAAAGTCTAGAATCGTGATCAGGACTGTCGATTACCCCTAGGAGCAAGTTTTGAGCGAAAAAATTTTTTTTGACTTTTTCGGGTTGTAGGTGACCGACCATTTGGTCGGCAGTGTGAGCGGAGTCTCACATCTTCGTAACAGCGATGCGTATCGTTGACGCTACGGACCCCGGACAACCCAATAAGCAAACCCAAGAAGGTCAAAACAATTGTTTTGACCGAAAATTCGTTTTTAGTGGTAATCAGTGGCCCTGATCACAAATATAACACCTATTCTTGGCGTCCACGCAATTTGGCGACAGAATAGCGGTGAACGTTCCCTATATTGGTGTACATTAACGCGGAATTAGTGGAAAGGAGATGTGGCCCCAAATTGTCTATAATTGACACCACACCAGAAGTTACTAAATTCGCAATCAGATCCACTGTATAGCCTATGAGGATCAACGTCCAGCAACAATCTTGTTCAATGGTGCGTGAAAATCGAAATAGTTGAATAGCACTGACTCATGAGGTACAGCTACTCAGAATGTGCCCATAAATGGCAAATATCCGAGTATTCATGCGCAGACACAATGGAAGCGAGAACAGCGAAAAACCTGAAAAAATGGCAAAAACCCCGCGACGCTAAGGGGAGCCGAACCAATCAACCCCCTCAATGCGAAACCTCCACTCTATCCGCTAGGCCATCCGATACTCAACTCTGCGTAGCGCTCTAATTGTTGATGAAACCATGCAAGAAGGCGTTCACCCTTGAGCACACGACCCAAGTTGGAAGCTCACTTGCGGCGATTTTTCGCTTCGATTCAAATAGCCCCTTTATAAGGACCCCCACTCAGCAACTGGTCAAAGTTGCAAGTGACCTACGCCGTATAGAGGCCCAGAGCGAAGCAGATTCCAAAGATTTCTTTTCACTCGTTTTTACCTTTCCTGGAAGCGCGCAGCGAAAATGAAGCACACTTTTCAGGCCCTTGCATGAGCCCCTACAATATGCAGAAAACCGTTTTCGAAAAGCGCACCACGCCCTGAACGACCTCCCTTGTCAGGTATAGCATCGTAATGTGTGGAATGGAGGCGTCATTACGACTCCCACCCCTTCCGAAAAGATTCTGGTACGACCGCCCTTTCCTACCCTAATTGCTTCGGCAAGAACGATTAAATGCGTAACAACTCGCAAGCGCTTGTGGCTGCGTTGTGACTCCATGGCCAAAATTAGTCGGCGGAGCCAAATCTGTTGGCCGGTTAGAAGTCATCGGGGCTTTTCTTGGAAGTGATAGCTTTTTAAGCGCGGGGCTTTTGAGGGAAGGAAGTCGGCATGTTGAAGGAATTTCTCTACTGTTGCTTTTTCTACCTACTCGCAATCTGAATCTTTCCCCGTTCGTGAAATATTCCGGATGGGACCCGCTAGCGGTTCACCACGGACGCGTTCGTGGTGAATCATGCGCGGGATTCCGTGCTCCAGACGAGAATAGTTCCTTTCAGACGCGATCCTGTGCAAAACTAAAAGGCTACGAGGACGCCCAATATTTCCCCTTCCCAACGAGCTCCACAATGTTTCTGAAGACCCGCTAGGCTAGAAGACATTTTGGATGGGTCGCACTTGAGCGACATCAGGGGTGGTACGTGGGCGCTGGGGAGGGGAAAGGGAGGAGTGGTTAGCAGGGCCGGTGAGCACCACCAAACACAACA